GAAGACAATACGGAAAACTATAAAAGAAAAACTCAATAGGTGATGTCCCCGGCTGTGCCGGTTAGAACTTTTTCCGTCTTCCGTTCTCTTTTTTTTTTAATCTAGGGTCTAAATTCATTTAATTATAATTTAATGGTGTAGATACATACAAGTTACCTAACTTGAAATTATACCCAAGTTACCGTAGTAGATCCCATAATACTTTTAATGAAGTATGCTACCATGATACTAACACCTTTTCAATCGGATTAGAAATCCTAATTATCCCATAATGCTTATATAGATGTAAAGAGTAATCAGAGCTTCCAACACACGGAAGACCTAAAGAAAGACCTTTTTTTTAACTAATGAACAACCCTATAGTTTCAGAGCCAGGAAATTGAAACCAAACAGTTTAGTCAACGCAGAGTGCTTTTGTGGCCCAGGATATTCCCATATACTGGATCCTCGGATTAACACTTTTGCCTTCAAAGACTGATACCCACCTAGCTGTTTGACTAAGCAACCCGCAGCAGCAAACCGACAAAGGGGAAGTGCAAACTCTATCCAAAAGATGGGTAACAGCCGTAAACTTGTGAGCAACAGCAAATGAAACAATTTCCTCGGACGAAACCGAAGAGAAAAAGAGGACGGAAGAATGCGATAAGTTAGACATATTCTTGAAAAAGATTGGAGAGTTTGTATCTCTCATGTTCATAATCATATGGACAGAAACTTTGCTGCCGACCACTTAGCTAGTACTGTTCCATGTGGAGGATCCGAGCCTTGCCCTATGGATCATTGTATGATGTTATGGGCATTGCGTAGTCACGTTTCGTTGGTAATGTTCAGTAGGACGCTCTAGCGTCCGTCTTTCTACCCAAAAAAAAAAGCAGGCTTAACCCAAATGGAACAACGAAGAGCACAACAAAGGGGAACATTTTCAATTCACCTCCAACAGAACAAATATCCCTAACACCAGCAAGCTACAAAAGAGAATATAGAAATCTGGCAGACAACCCAACATGTTTTCAGTTCATAACGGCATAGTCCCAAAGGCGAAAATGAAAGCAACCCGTCAAAGAAAATCATTCCACCACCAAAAGCAAAAGGACAGGAAACACCAGTTGAAACTGCTACTAGCGACTCATTTCAGAAGGGTCTTGACAATGGTTTTCACGTTCAACTTCTTCAGGTCTGTGTAAGACTGCCCACAACCCACAACATCACCGGTGCTCCAGAGATGTAAACCATGGAAAGCGCAGCTCCAACCTGGTGGTAAAAGCAAGAGTGCGTTTACAAGGATTCACTTCGTAAGACACAGAAGCCGTTCAACAATAAGAAACTCGATGTTACTCAAATTTATTTCACCATTGAATTTAACCAGTTGGTTGTCTGTTGGAGAATAAATGATTGTGAAAATGATTAGGTGATTATTCATAGACATTTTAGGGGTAGATGAACTTACGAAAAAATGAAAATATAGAAAAGACAAAGGTGGGATATCGATTGGATGTGTGTATTTGATTGAGAATTAGGTTATTTGATCAACTGGAGATGCTAATTGGAACTAAATTGAGAAGGTTTCCTCACCTTATCGTCGATGGTGTCAAACTTAGTAAGCAGGATCCCATCAATTAGTCGCGGATTGGGGGAAGTGGACAGATCAGCCAGTTTCTGGAAAAAGAGCAAGCGAAGTTGGTCAGTCAAATTGCTGATGGAAGAAAAGGGATTTGCATAACTGATGCATATTGCATAGAACCGAACCTGATTGAACTTTGACAGTTGATCCACTGCGTCATTTCCAACCAATGCCTCCCCAACAAAGAGCACAAGATCAGGATTGTTGAGGTTAACAAGCTTTGATAGCGCCCTCATCAGAGGTTCATTGTCCTGAAAATGCGTGCAAACCTTGTTACTACTTACTACGAGCCTCTCTCATTCACAACGGTGAGTTTCGTCCGGATTAAAAGAAAACACAGTGTATTTTAGCAAAAGCACTTTCTTGACTTTTACCAACACTTCTAACACTTTAAAAACAAATGACCCTGGTTCTAGCAAAAGCTAAAACAATACACACATAGTGTATTTTTACCAATAGGATTTGTGAAGAAAAGGTCAAACCATATATTTCCACTCGGAGTAGAACAAGAAACAAAGAGCTAACTGAAAGCTAGCACATTGGCCAACAACACAGACAAACCCAAAAATCCTTCTATATTCATTTATAATATCAAGTTAGCAATCTAGCTATGTGAGGAAACTTCTGCATATAATTAGTTACCTGCATCCGCCCAGCTGTGTCCACAAGAACCACATCTGAACCATTGCGAGTTGCCTCCTGAATTGCTTCCTTCGCCACCATAGCAGGATCCTTTTCATAGCCCTTCTCAAATATAGGAATCTAGAAAGAAAGAAGTGAGTTTACTTAGCACAAAAACAAAGTCATCCATGATAACACACGAAATGCACAATCAATTCTCCACCTGAAGTCTGCGTGCATGAGTTCTCAACTGCTCAACAGCTCCAGACCGAAATGTATCACAAGCAGCCATCATAACACTGACATTATGCTGCAGAAGCCAATATGCAACCTGCAAGATTTACACATAACAGCTTTGCTTGATTATAGAGTATAATCCTCACAAGATAAATATGCCGAGGTAGTGTTATCAAGCCACACCTTAGCTAGATTGGTAGATTTTCCAACCCCATTGACACCGACAAAGACAACAACGTAAGGCTTCCTTTGTTCCTTAGCAGCATGTACGTCCCTCAGTATGTCAATAGACCGCTTAGGAGTCAGAATCCGAACAAGTGCATCTTCCATAGCTGCCTATAAACCATAACTTCCCACATAAGCTTGAAGATTTTTGAACCAATGTATCAGGAAAATAAAGTATACATATTGCAAGGAAGCATACCTGGACAGTTGAAGATATCCTTGTGAAAGATGCAAGCTTTTTACCTTCCAGGCTAGCAGCAACTGATTCACAAAGCTTCTCAGCTATCTCTTCCGCCTTGATACCAAGTGAGTAGAAATCCATAAGAACAGAATATAGTATTCCAAGTAATCATCCACGAGAGGACATACAATAAATAAAGAGAATTCTTCAAGGTCAAGTAACGTACCACATTCTTGGTCATGAGCCTGTCCTTGAGAGCTCTTAGAGCTGGTTCCAGATCGGATTTCTCTATATTTGCTTTTCCTGCGATGCTGAAAGAATGACAGCAGCAAGTCAAGCATAATACATGGGAGAAATGCTTAGCAACAATTATCAGGATTCAATTTTGTTTTCGCATCCAAATTGTAGACTGAAGTGTGCGGAGATTACTGGGGAAAATATTTTTTAAGATATTGGGAGGGGGTAATATCTAAATCGTCTAGTGATAGGGCATAAGAAAGGTTTGCATCCCCCTCCTAATGATACTTTAATTATCAATTCGCTAATAAAAACGTGGTTTACTTTAAAACCATTGAAAGAAGCAAACTTACCTCTGGAACATAGATGAAAACCATCCCTTCTTCTTAGAGTCAGGTGCACTCCCCTTGCCGACTTCATCTTCTTCATCCTCACTGTCGCTGCTAACAACCTCTTCCTTGTCCATCATGCTTTCTCCTTGGTTAGCTGCCACAACATCTATATTCTCACTTCCAGTTTCCACAGGATCAGTGAAGTCCAATTTCGACTGTGAAGGTGAATCATCCCAAACCCTATTCTTTTTAGTTGCTTTTTTCTTTGTGTCCAATTTGGAACCCTTACTATCACTAACAACAGTATCATTTTTCTTTCCTCCTTTGTTCTTAAGCTTCTGGAGCTTACTTACATCAAAAGCTCCAACATTGACACTATCATTTTCTTTACCATTACCAACAGCTAATTTCCTAGAACCATCACTTGCAACATGATGGCCATTGGAGTGTCCATTCTCCAACTTATTATAACCTGCCCTATTATCATCATCATCACTGCCACCAGTAGCCTCGCTTTTTTTCTTGTTTCCGCCATCCGCCCCACCCTTCTTCACATGCCCTTGCTTCTTAGAATCATTGGCAGGCCTACCCACCTGCTTTGATTTCTTCAATTCCTCCGTCCTGGCTTCTGCCTCTTTCCTCAGCTGCCTAAATGTTTCGTCGAAATCATTATAGTCCACCCGCTTGGGATCATATATCTCACAGAATTCACGCTTCACCATGGAAAGCATTTCATCCACATAGAGCAGCCGGAGTATCCGCTGATACACAGCCACAAACACAAGGCCAAGCTCGTTGTTGAAGGTCCATTTGAGGGTATAGGCAGCACCCGGAGCATCATAGTTATACGAGTTAGAGCCAGATCGTTCCTCCAAGAGACAGAACCTGATGAGGGTGTCAATTGGTGATCCCTTGAGAGCGTTTCCAAGCTCTTTACATGTCCATAGGATCAATCCTCCTCTAGTAAATATGAGCAACTGCTCCAACATCCTTCAGCTGTGCCTGAATAATCTGGAAGTATAAGAAAATGAATAAAATAAGATGTGAGACGAGACCCGGAACCATCGATAATGACCATTTCCACACAGAAAGATCATTGCATGTACGATTCAGAAGAAAAGCCTCAAAATTCATGGAACCAATCCAGAAGAATAACCTCATGATCCTATTTGATCAAACAGAAATCGGTACTGTGAAGCTGAACATAAGGGAATCCAGAACAATATAAAGCGTAGATCAAATCCCAGAAGGAGAATTCAACAAGAAGCTAAATCGTAAAGGGATCGTCTCAAATCGGTTCTGGTTCAGAAATTCGATATACGATTTTGGGCAAAGTAGCGATATTGCGAATATCGACCAGAGAAAAGGAGACGAGGAATCGACCGATTGCCGGGAAATCAAACTATTGTACCTGGTGGCCGTTTTTTCTTCGATCCCGAAGGCGACTCTAGAGAATATACGGAGAGGGGGAAAAAAAGGAAATGAGAAACCAAATATTGAAATGTTTGGGAAAAGAAAATTTATGGAGAGGAGAAAGAAGGAATCAGGATCTGACTTTATGTTCCTCAATAAGGGTTGTTGATATGTTCGGCAAATTGGACTTGGGCTTTGACTTCACACGCGGTTTTTATTGGACGGTAGAAGGAACTGGGAAAAAATCCCAAAGTACACTAGTTTTTAAAAAATTTTTCCAAAATACATAAGTTATAAAAAAAATTCCAAAAGTACACATGTTTGGGCATCACCGTGTTTGACAAAAGCGGTGAAGTTTATCACCGCGTTTGTCAAAGACGGTGAATACTTCACCGTTTAAGACCAAAACGGTGACGTATTCACCGCATTTATCTAAAACGGTGATATATTCACCGCGTTTGTTGAGAACGGTGAATACATCACCGTTTATGTTGACAACGGTGATTACCTTCACCGTTTTAGGTTAAAGTGGTGATATATTCCCACGTTTCCCACCCCTGGTAGGTCAAAATTAGGTCACACCTACCTATTATTCACCGTTTGAGACAAACGCGGTGATGTTGTTCACCGTTTTTGACAAACACGGTGAATAATAGGCAGATTTTCCTATAAATACCAACCCACCAGCAGAAGCAAAAACATAACCACTCCCCCCTTCTTCAAATTTCAGCAACAAAAATCGAGCATAATACACAGAACAGACATTTTTCGGTATGTTGAGACTTTTCGTATTATTGTCTAATTATGTTTTTAGTAGTTATAGTATGATTAAATTTTCGTATTATGTTGTTGTTAGTTAGTTGAATTTATGTTCGTTAGTTATAGTATGATTTAATTTTCGTATTATGTTGTTGTTAGTTAGTTGAATTTATTTTCGTTAGTTATGAGATGGACAATATTAGTTGTACAATATGATTTTGGTTAATTTTACTGTCTTTAAGCTAATATACTTATCCTCGATTTGTAGATATGGGTAAATTCAAGAAGTTTCATCTTAATATTCGGTGGAATGGAAGGGTGACAAACTCTAACATAGGCATTGATTATGAGGACGGCGAATCCATTATGCTGAACATTGGTTCCCGATTCAATTTTCAAGAACTCTGTGATCTTTGTGCAGAAAGGGTTTGTACGAGCGGACAGACGAGACTTGGCAGAATTACTTACCGGTATCCAGACATGAGTGCTGGCGGGGTCGTGTACCAAGAAGTTGTCATAAACGATGATGACGCGGTTACGATGATGTTACAATTCCTAAGCGATAACCAAGTCCGGCTTGCAGAGGTGTATGTTCAGACCGAGGCGGTCGGTGAATCTCATTCTCACCAGTATTCTTATGATGATGGTTTTGCAGGAGGGTACGAATGGGGTGGTAGCTCGAGCAACTACCAGAGGCGGTGGTATACAGGAGGTTACGGGGAGGGTGGTGGTTCAATCAACTACGGTGGATCGAGTAGTGCAGGATGGGACAAATACTCGCAACCTACCTAAACAGCCCCATTTTGTTGAGGCCGATGGTGTTCAATGGCCTGCTTGGGGCCAGAGTGGTATGGATCGAGAATACCATTCGATCAGGGCGTACTTCACATGAGCGAGAGGACGATGTTGGTGATCGTGTCATGTTGATCCTTCATGCTTTCGCTGCCATTCTTTGACGAATGTCGGAGGTCGATAGCATGTAGCTCCCTGAACCTGCTGGCGGGTCTTGTGGAATTGGTTGCTCCATTCGATATTGCCATCAGGGATCGATCGGGAAGTGTCCATTCCACCATGTGCCAGCAGATTAATGGCACCTTGCACAACCATGTGTCGTGATCCAGAGGGTGCCTAAGATGATGCAGCTCAACCACTTCACGTGGATATGGATCCCATATAACCTATATCCATTCAAAAAATCGGAATTAACTACCATTTACTTTGACAAAATTTAACTTGTTCAAATATGGACAAAACATGATTACCTGATTCCACCATGGTTTATCTAAACTCAGAACGATAAAACAGTAACGAATGCTCAGGTTGATGGTCATTCGTATTTGCTCCTATCCACCTTGTAAGTAAAAGTACGGAATCAATTTAATTGAAATATAGCTAAGCATGTAATAAATTTAAATTGGGCTAAGTACGGGATAAAATTCAATTTATTTCTAGCTCAAGCATGTAATAAAATTTAAATCGAGCTAAGTACGAAATAAACTTACTTGACCGTATGGAGATTTTGCAGAAAGTTGAGCTCATCATCGTTTCTCCGGTATGGACGTGGGTCGGCAGGTGCGAACATTGGAAGATGCTCCCATACCCACAGTTGTAGTATGAACATCGCAGCACCAGCTTGCTTTGCCCCAACCTTCGAGCAAGTACACAGCTCCCGGTATAAGGCCCGCTAGCCACGGCCGATCCCCAACTCTTTTGCCCGATTGCATCCCAATCACCCGTGAGCAACTCCAACCATATGCCTTGAATCCACCGGTTGGACTTGTCGGGGAACAAAAATCCACCCCACCAAACCGATGAGGTAGATGCGGGCGTAGCGCTCGACTTGTTCTTCCGGTGTCTCGTCATTGATCACAACCTCTTGCTGGATGTGAGACACCAGCCACAGGACCGACACTTGGCCCGCATTCAACGGTGGATGCCCCCGTCCTTGAATTGGAGTGGTGGTCGGCATGTCAAAGCCCAAACGATCACGTATGAGCGGCCCCCAACCTCCTTCGGGTTTGGTCTGGGGACCAATGACGGCATCCCCAGAAATAGGCATCCCGGTGAGGATCGCCACGTCTTTGAGGGTGATCGTCATTTCCCCCTCCGGAAGGTGGAACGTATGGGTTTCGGGACGCCATCGTTCCGCCATTGCCGTAAGCAGATCGTTGTCGATTTCGATCCGCAAGAAATGGCGCAACATTCCCAAACCTGTCCTCGCTATATAGGGCTCCAACCTTGGATGCCAAGCGGGCAAGTTATTGGTCCCTTTATGAACCATGGGAACAAGCGATTCCTAAAAAAAATAGGGAAAACAACAATTTATTAGATTAAATAAAGCAAAATAAAACCTTAGAAAAAAATAAAATAAAGCAAGAATACTCAAAAAATTACCGGATTGTTATCCCAAATAGCACGGGAGCGATGAGCTACTTGATCGGTTAAGAGACTCGCATCCCTTGGGCCATAATGGATATACAATCGAGGATCGTATATCTCGGCACCCATCTATAAAAAAGTAATGAAATCAGAGATTGTTTTGATAAAAATAAAACAAAAAATCATATTATTTCGATTAAAAAAAATTCATAAACAAAAAACCTACACGAAGAGCCTCTTCGTCCATTTTTTGGCGTAGGCCGGACAGAGGTTCGACGAGTTTAGGTTTGAGCGGGACGGGAAACTTAGCGGGACGGGGGCTTTAGGGTCAAACTCTAGTAATTCTTTCTGATGTGGAAGATCGGACTTTAGCCGCAACCACAGAGCATACTTAGAACGAGACTAGAGCGGATAAATTGAGGGAGAAAGAAGTGAAATGTTGGTGGGGTGAGTTGAAAAGTGAAAGGGGGAGGGGGTATTTATAGTTGGGGGAAGGGGGGGAGGAGCTGCTGCGCAGTAATTAGGGGAAGCGTTCACCGCGTTTGATGAACGCGGTGAAGGCTTCGCGTTCCCCTAAAACGGTTCCCCCGTCCACGTGGCCTGCTGTGAGACGTCGGATCGTGGGAAGAAAACCACGATCCGCGCCTCACCGCATCTAACGGCCACGGTGAAAACACAATGGCGCGGATCGCTGACGTAAACAAACACGGGGTATTCACCGTGTTTGTCTACCGCGGTGAATGCCCCGCGTTTGTCCACGTCAGCGCCTTCACCGCGTTTAATTAAAACGGTGAAGGTATCACCGTTTTAAACTAAAACGGTGATATCTTCACCGTTTCATTTTAAAACGGTGATGCATTCACCGTTTTTAACTAAGACGGTGAAGCTATCACCGTTTTATTTAAAAACGGTGAATGCTTCACCGTTTTAAATAAACGCGGTGATTATCTTCACCGCTGTTGTCAAAACGGTGATGCTCAAACATGTGTACTTTTGGAATTTTTTTTATAACTTATGTATTTTGGGAATTTTTTTTAAGAACGTGTGTACTTTGGGATTTTTTCCGAAGGAACTGCGCACGCCACGCTCCTTCCGGCCCCATCCGCTCGCTCAGCCCAAGCGGATTGATTACCTTTGGAGTTTGGAGTGTTTTGGCCGGCGACATGGACCTCGATAAGCTACAAAAGGGGTAAGGGTCAAAGGTTCACCGAGAGATGATCGTGAGAATGGGTGAAAATCAACATTGTCAAATCGATTTATACTGCACTAGTTTTACAAGTAAAATGATCTGACCATGGTATGACCGGTATATATGTCGGATTGTCTCGATTAACCAAAAATATGTATGCAAAATGGAAACAAGTGCGGTGGGAGGGTTTGCAATTTTAATAAAATACCAAGGGCGAAATTGTATGATTTTTTCAAGGTTTTTTGTTGTTTCGTAATTTAAAACTCGTCCAAATATTGAGATAAAGTTACACTGATGCAAGCATGACATATGACTTGTTCAAGAGGGACGAGTATATTACAGCACATATTCATTAAGTGATTACTTTGTTGTTTGATGTATGACTGAAGTGATTAATATTTACTAATAATCATATTTCTCGAGTTTAGTGGATGAAGAACCTCATAATAAAAGAATGCTTAGTATTCCTATTTAATTTGACATCTATATTGAAACAAAACGGTCGATAATGAGTTGTAGTTGTTAATAGGTTGTACTTATTTATGAATGAAGAAACCTCATTATTTCCTTATTGCATTGTTGGTTTAGTTGTACGTTTGCTACACTATTAATTTTTTTTCAAAATAGATTATCTACATGAGTAGTGACCTTTTTAAATGAGACAAGTAATTTATTGAAGATTAATCAGATTACACACAAAAACTCACGTTTTTACGCTACGCTTTTATGTTTTATGTGTTTACTAATGTCTTCGCTTTTGCGTAGAAACACGCATTTAACTACATTGGTTCCATCTATGGCTAGCGAGTCGAGCTCATTCGTTGACCTTGATGAATCAATTCCAGCATTAGAAGGTACTTGGAGTGTTATCTAGACCCGAAGGAAATGATAGGCAAAAGGTCCGCAACAAGGGGAAATCCATGGAAGAATTATTGAGGAGCGTGATCAACGAAGGGATGCATTATTGGATCGAGGTGGTCTTCTTGAGGAGAAGAATGTCAGTAGGGTCATATACGAAAGTAAGAAGATCGAGCGTGAACGGAGGAAGTGGCAAATGAAGGACAAGGAAAGTTCCATCTAGAAGAAGGGAACATGAGTTGAACTTTAGGGAACGAGAAGTAACTTTATTTGATAAGGATATGCAGATTTTGGAAATTGACCTAAGCAAGTTAACTCCATGGAAGAGGAAGATTGTTAAGCGCCGGCAAGATGACATAAATGGTATGGATGCTAATCGTTGGGTATATGACTCGGATCTCGCTGGGCCAAGGAAATACCTCAAACGACGTCGCAGCAAGAACTAGGTGCGCCAGCACTGACGCAGCGCAACCGCAACCTAAGCGCGCCAGTACCAGCGCGACCTTGAACATAGCCCGCGCCCGAACACCGAACGACGATGTTCGGGTCAGGCATTGACCAGATCAGGAAATCACGGAAACGACGCCGCGTTCTCCCGAGGAGTGGTCACCATCAGTCCTAGGTATAGTTATGGGCTGAACGTCCTTTCCTAGGTAGAGTTACGGCCTAAGTCCCTGTCATGTCAGTGGTCATGTCACCATGTAACCCACCCACCACCATGTAACCTATAAATATGGCATTTACTCTGGTGGGTGGGGGATCGCAATTTTGAGACTCTATCTCTATAATCATCAACTTCTCTCTCTAAGACCTGGTTCTTCCAATCTTGTTCTTCCCTATCTTGGTTCTTCATTCCATACTCTATCCCCATTGCTTACTCTCCTTGACCCTTCTTCTTCTTCCCCGAACCTCACTCCTACACTTAGTCAGGTTCAAACAATTGGCGCCCACCGTGGGGCCAAGTAGAGAAGCAAAAGGAAACCGACCAATGGCAGAACATAATTCCAACTTGCCTGACGAAGCAACGCCCATCAAAGCAATGACCAACCAAGGGTGTTCGCTGAAACCAGCAACGTAAACGCGGTGCTCCTCGAAGAAGAGGAGCCCGAGCTCACAGCCAAAGAAATGAGGCAGCTGATGGCGAAGCAAAACAGCGTCATAGCCGACATGCAGAAACAAATGAGCCAAGTCATAGCGCTCATGACGAGCAGAGAAGCCGCGACGACAGCAGCCGCGACGCCAGCCGCGCCTCAACAAGCCCCAGGAGAAGCGTCAGGGACTGCCCCGCTATCACAACCAGCGCCAGCCGAATTCCTCGTGTGCGAAACGCAACAAGTCGAGCCGCCAGGCAGGGCGGACCTCAGTTTCCTGGAGCAACACTTATCTCCGCAATACCGCCCCAACCCACCCAGAAAGGCCCTCCACCAACCGTTGAGTGCAGAAATCGTGACGGAACACCTGAGCGGAACACCACCCGCCCTCCCAACGTATAACGGGACGACCGATCCCGAAGACCATGTGAGCACCTTCTGCCTGCGGATGCAACTCCAAACCAACTCCAACGCGGCACTATGCAGAACCTTCCCATCAACATTCTCCGGAATATGCCTCGATTGGTATAACAGGCTCCCGAACGGGATCATCCGCTCATTTGAGGAGTTCATACTCTTGTTTACGACGAAGTTCGCGTCCCAAAAGAGAAGGCCTCTCCACCTCAAGGCGCTGATAGACATCAGGCAAAAGGACGGAGAAAGCCTGCGAGCATTTTACGCTAGATGGTCCAGGGTGGCGATGGCCGTGCGCGACCTTACCCCCGAAACCGCCGCCCATCACCTTATGGAAGCCACCACCAACATGGAGCTCAAGCGGGCGCTAGTGAAAAGGCCCGTAACGCTATCGACAGAGTTGGAGATGAAGATCGAGAAAGCTATTACGCTAGAAGAAACCCTCGGAGCGGGATCTGTCAGGCGTTTCGAACCAGCAAAATTGTCCCGAGAGGAACAGGGGCGGCGACAGCTCCCGGTGCCGCGAGATCAATTGGCGCAGCTGCATAGCGGGCCAAAACGCCACCCCCTCCCCCACAAGAGCAAGCTCAGCGAGGACGATCGCCAGACAGGTGCACGTCAAACGCCTACACACCACTTAACGACTCCGTGAAAAACGTGTTACACGTTCTCCGCGAGAAGGGTTACAAACTCAATTGGCCAGCGCCTTTGAAGTCCTTACCGCACATGCGCGATCCAAAGAAACATTGCGACTTCCACAGAGCAACGGGGCACTGGACATAAGATTGCCGAGAACTACGTTACGAAATAGAAGGCCTCATACGACGAGGATTGCTGACCGAGTTCATCCACGAGAAAGAGGAACAAGTAGAGTGTCCACAAAACCCGCCACCACCCCCGAAAGCCGACTACAACAAAGCCACTGGCGCGTATGTAGTGCGAAAAGAGATAGGGGTGGTAACGATAGAGGGAGATCGCCCCAAGAAGAAAACTAAACGCGAGCGTGCAATGGAATGCGCGGCGGTCGACACACAGGCGAAATACAGCCTGAGCTTCGATGACGCGGAGTTCCCACAAGGGATCCCATCAGAAGACCCACTCACCATCACTGCGCTAGTTGATGCCTGTAAAATCCACCGCCTACTGATAGACGGGGGCAGCGCGGCAGACATCCTCTTCCAAAGCACAGTCGACCAAATGGACATCGACCCGCGCCTAATC